AGGCCAAGAACTGAACAGGGCCGTCGTTCATTTAAACACAGAGCTGTAATTGCCTGGAACTCTTTACCTGACTCTGTCAAATAGCTTGAAAACCCTCTTTCTTTTAAAAGGAAGATAAAAGCGATTAAGACCTATGTCAGAGACATCAGTTTCCAAAAGGAATGCTCTGTAAATTATAATAACCCTGAATTTAGGTATTTTTAAATTATTTGATTACTCTTTTTATCATTATTGTATATACTATTTTAGCTTTATGACAATTGTATTGTAAATTTCTGTTTCTCTTATTTAGACTTAGTAGTAGTAGGTCCACATCAGCTGTACAGTTGCTTATTTTAAACGTACTTATCAAATAAATGTATGTATGTATGTATGTATGTATGTGAGTATGTATGTGAGTATGTATGTGAGTATGTGTGTGAGTATGTATGTATGTGTGTGAGTATGTATGTGAGTATGTATGTGAGTATGTATGTATTTATGTATGTGAGTATTATGGATTCAAATGCAGAGGCAGACATCTCAATGCCACAGCTATCCAAGAAATTCATATTCCAGCAGCAAGGTTTACTAAATGTTCCCTGGAAAGAATGCTGTAATACAACTAAGGAAAATATGTCATGCCACAATGATTATCTTGATGTATTAATTTATTTTTATGCATTTTTTTAATGGTTATTACCAATTTTCAAATTCTTGGTTCTTTATATACTAAGAATATGTGTAAAGGACTCATTACATGTAATTAAAAACTCTACAAGGTGGAATGTGGAGAGTGTTAATTAAATACTAAATAGATTTGCTTTACTTTAGTTCAGGTTATGTTTCTTTTCTTGGATAAAGAGCATTTCATAAATTAAGCCTTCAAATTTGCCACAACATTTCTTAAGGATGATAAATTGTTCCTGAAGATCTTTGTTCATCTGATCTGAGTGTGTCACGTAGGTGTTTCCAATATCTGAATGCTTGTGTTCATCATTGCGTTGATCAATGTGTCCGCGAGTATAGCCAACACAGTTCACATCTAGCTTTGGAATTTCTTTACTCCTTTTGTGTTCCCCCAATATTTGCAATTGCTAGGCAGAGTTTTCACTGCAGTTTTTGTTCTTTTCATGCACTTCAGTTTTGTCATTAAATTATGTGAAGTGCATTTTACTTTAGTTTCAAGTTATGCAGCAAGATCATTAATGAGGGTGACCAAACAAATAATAGGTAACAATACATCACTACAGTTGCACTCAAACATTCGGTTCTGTTCAATTGACAAAATGAGCTCCATTATTATGTTCGATTAGCCAACTCAACCAAATGATGGGATTCAATTGCCCAACTTTCAAACAGATACCCTGGGCATATTCAAGCAGTTGCAAAACATGCAAATTAAGAGTGAGCAAAAAGAATTAGTTCATGCTAATAATAATAATAATAATAATAATAATAATAATAATAATAACAATAACATATAATAATTAATAATAATAATAACTTTATTTAAGTGTCAAATGTATTGAGCACTGTTGTACTAATTGAGGACACTGTAAATAAATAACCAAATATTGCAAATAGAAATAAACTATTAAGAATCCCAACTGGTGGGAGGCTGACCAATGGGCTATTTACACAATGCCCTCTTGGTACTGCCAAGAACAAAATGCTTACCGTGCGTTTATCTAATGAGTCTGTTGTTCAAGTGCTCACTCCTAAGTGTATCCATAACTTGACAGACCTACACTTAAAAGAATGACCCAATTCTCAGTTACACTAAAAAGGATCAGGAGTAGACTAGAATAAAAATAACTTAACCTTGTGATCAGAAAATGAATCAAATCTCGTGCATAATGCATGCTTAAAACTCTCTCTAACAACAACAACAACAACACCAACAACAACAACACTTTAGACCGTTGCCGTCTTTGCCAATGAAAGGGTAGGAAATCCTGATTGAAAGTCCCTCACAATAATTAACCATTTTTGAATTTTATTAAATTCGTCTTGCTTAACTAAAGACCAAGTGAAAAAAATTTCTTGTTGGAATGGCAATTTGCACAGGTTATTGTACCAAAGCGCAGGTGTGAGTCTGTTGAGGTATGGATGTAGGCCCTCACTGTAAACCTCACTGGCTAGGTTATACATCAGAGTGAGTTTTCTTTGGGCTACTCTTAGTGAGATTGGTTTGACATTCCTGGAGATACTATGATTTACTTAGCTGGAGTTGTTTCTAGGCAGACCCTAGTTCAACTCTTTAGTCATGCTTGTAAATAGCCAACTGGCCTGCCTCCTGCCGGTTGGAATTTTTAACCATGTTATGTTCATTTGGATTATTTGTTTCATCATTTAGTTTCATTGGCCCTTACAAGCCCCATTGGGAGAGTGGTCAATTAAGATTTTTATTTTTATTTTTACTTTTTTATTTTTTTTTATTGACTTTTGAATCTTCCTTATTATTGTTCACACATTTACTAATGCGCATTGTCTGGGAGGATGTGTGTTTTTGCATTTTACATGAAATTCAATTTGGCCACAGCCAAAATGGCAAATGGTCACCGAACACTGCTTTAGGTTAATTAAGGTGTTTTTGTAAATGAGTGTGGTGATTTTGAATGAAGGTAAATTTGTTATGAAAACTGCACATTCTCCTTGTTTCATGAGCCAGTTGTTTCTCTTAGCGGATGCGACAATGGCCCTTGTGGAATAGAACAAAATGTCTTCTCATACACCAGTGAGGGCCCCTTTCTCAATACTTAAAGGATACTGAGCTGATTATCTGAAGTCCTAGGAAAACCATTTTCAGGGTATTGTTCCTTTTGGGGGCATTCACAAAATAAGTGCACAATTTATTCAAATTTTATTTGGGGTGTGAAATAACACCCCTTAAATATGACTGGTTATGGCTTAGAAAACATTGTCTGAGATGGTTAATTATTAAATTTCCCATTTGTTTGTAGAGAGAAGTAATCAACAAGAAAGGAGACCACATGAATCTTATGAACAAAATGTAAGTGGTAAATTAGAATTGACTGTAAAACAGTGAATCCAGTTATACTGACACCAAAAGTCGTGCCAGTGTCCAGGTTATCTGGGTTTTGCATTAAACCCGAAATAAACATCACATTCACGTCAGGTCATTCCTAACGAGTACAACTGAGCAGTAATATAAAACAATTTTAATGTCTGGACTGTCTCAAACATAGCAATGCAATCATTTAAGGTGGCTTACTACAGTTTTGATGGATTACAACAGCCTGTTTACTTAAGTCTTTTACAAGTCCAAGTGAAGCTTGAACGTTCATGCAAAGTAAAATAAAAATCTGTAGCACAGATTTTTCGCAAACTAAGAAAATGTGAAATCAAAAATAGCTGAAATCTGTCTTGCAGATTTTTATTTTACTTTGCATGAATGTTACGTCAGAGCCAATTTCTTATTCCTGAAATTTTGAGGTGGGTCTTACAGGTAGATTTTGAGAAAAATGTGATTCAACCTACTAGTGCCCAGTCTCTCCTTAGGTACTCATTTCATTCATTTTAGCCATTTGTTGACGTTCAATTGTTCAAGTTTCACATAGAATGGTAAAAGACTTAAGTAAACAGTAAATAGAGAAAGGAAAAACATCTTGGAACATAGAAGTTGGGCTGTTTTAATCCATCAAAACTGCAGTACACGATTTTAAAGTATAAGAATGAAATAATATTTGTGCCAAGTTTTGTTTACATTGGATTTTTTTTACGTCCCCACTGTTTTCGTAAAGAAGCGTGAAATTCTGAACATTTTAAGCTGCGAAAACCGCCATTATATGCATATTTTGACCTTTCTTAACTCTTGGCTGTAAAAGAAATGGTTGGAACTTTAAACTATTTTCCCTTGAATAAGTTCACCCAAGGGTACGTTTTAAAAGAATAATCAATTTTTCGTGACTGTCTTCCGATTCTCGACACTCTCAGAAAATCAATCCAGGAGGCCTTCTCAATAAAAACCACCCACTCAATTTTGCATCCAAAATATAATTTTTCCTGAAATTCTGGCAACTGAAAGACCTTACTGAGATAAGAACAGAAACAGGTCTGGTTTGATTCGAAATGATTTTCCAGCTGTGTTAGGAGCCATTAAATATTTCCCCTCGTCAGGTAAGCATGTAAGATGGAAGTTAAGTAAACTGAGTATTGTTTTTCTATCTGTTTATACATCATTTGTCTATCTGTCTTCTTGCCAGGCATATTTGTCTCTTCATACTTATGTGCTCAGTTAATCTCAAACTACTTATTAATCATTTTTTGTTCAATTGATCAGTCACATTTCACACATCAAGCACATCAATTTAACAATTAGATTATGAACTAGAAATTTCAATCACGCATAGAAATCAAGAACAAATTAATTTTGTGAGTTGCTTTTTTCAATTCATTTTGCACAAAATATCAGATTTTTCGTAAGTAAAAATATCTTAACTTCATGTTTGGAAGACCACTCTCTGGGACTGTTGCTTTGGCATGGCTGAGTGGCTTGTGCATGCCAATGACTCCAAGAGCTATGCTGGCGGGGGTGTTCATACCCCTGGTATGGTCTACCAAACTGAAAAGGTCAACGAGTAGGGTCCAGACTAAAAATAGTCCCATGTCTGAGTTTGAGGCTAACAACCTCATCCTGGAAAAATTACTAGTTATGAAAACAACAACAAAGACAACTAACAACCTGCATGCAGGCCTTCCAAGGTCTTCGAACCATGTGACTGCCAGTGGTGAAAGCCAGAAGGGAACTGCTGGCATGAAGTTGGAGTAAAAGCCAAGACCAGTCTTGGATTTTGAAATGTATGTACTGTGTATGAAACTCGAAAGTTTGCCCAGAACATAGCAGAAATGAGAAGGTGCAAGTTTTATGTGTTAGGTGTACGCAAAAGTATGTGGACAGGAACAGAGACTCAAGTCTGTGTTCAGGCGAGACCGTATTATATTCTTGGTAAGACGATGGTCAACATCATGAGGGCGTGGAGACTATCCTGAAAAAAGGAGCAAATAGATCACTCCCGGAATGGAAGCCTATTATAATAAATTAGAATAGTAGCTTCATAAAGGTTAGGCTAAAGGGAAGGTGTAAGAATCTAACCCTGGTTCAGTGTTATGCTCCAACTAATGACAGTGAAGATGATCTGAAAGACAACTTCTATCTTAGACTCCAGGCAGAGATTGAACAGGTCCCATCGCAAGATCTTATCATCATCATGGGGGACCTGAATGCCAAAGTTGGTGCTGATAACTCAGGCAGTGACAGGGTGATGGGACGTCATGGATGTGGTATCATCAACGAAAATGGAGAAAGGCTTGTGGAGTTTTGCACATCAAATGATCTGGTGACAGGGAGCACCCTTTTCCACACCAAAAGATCCATAGACCAGGAGGAAGAGATAAAAATCAAGTCAATCACTTGCTGATTAATGGAAATGGTGGAGCTTCCTTCAGTAGTCCAAAACTAACCAGAATTGTTCATTTTTTGATAAAAGCATGAAAATTCCAGGATTATTAACCTCTATAAGGTAAACATTTTCTGATATGGAGCCATGCCAAATTTACACCCAGAACCACGTTATGCGCATGTCAAAAAATAACGTTTTAGGCCCCTACCTGGGAATGAGGCTGAGTTAAAATGCTTATTTCTAAGCCATCTCTGAAGGTGCACAACAGATTCCAGGCTCTTGTAGAAATAAATGAAAGGGAGAACAATGAGGAAGAAGTGAATAAGATCTGGGGGAACATTGTAACTGCACACAGCGAAAGCAGTAAGGCGTGTTTAGGATACAGGCAACAGAAGCCAAAGGAGTGAATGTCACATGACTCATAGACTGCAAAACAGTCGTTTTTGGACATTTTCGGAAGGCGCGAAGTGCCGTAACCACGATCCTTGCGTGTGAAGCGCACGAGCCTCACACGTGTTTTTTAGCGTCTCCCCATTCTCCCTCTCTCCAAGAGATGTACCTGGTGGTAAACATGTACAAAGAGTTGAAGTGTCGAGCAATAGCTGATAAGCGGAAGTACATGGAAAATCTGACATCCCTGACACAGGAAGCAGCCACACGATTGAACAAGGAACACTAGTGAACAGTGTAACATTACAGTGTTCTGGTGCTCAAAGACTCTCAAGACATGGACTATGAGGATGTGCTAAAGCGAGCTGTGTTTTGTTCAAAGCAACGGCACGAGAAAGAGCTGAAGTTCTTTTGTAAGAACTGTGAAAGGGCAGTGTGCCAATCTCATGTTTTGATGTATCATCCTGGTCACACTTGCACATAGAAGACGAAGCTGAATGACAAAAGATTGTCAGTGATTGAAACACAGAGGTGTATTTCACAAGCAAAGATGAATCCTGTTAGTAACCTTAATGAGGACTACGTGAAGCTGATGCAACAATTATGCAAAGAGGTGAAAAGAGACGTTCAGAGGACTGGTGACAATTCAAGAGTAATTGCCACTAAAAACCTAAGAAATTGTTGCCACTGTCGAAAAATCGATTTCTCTCATACTTTGCCAGTTTGAAGGCCTAGGCAAGTAACTGAAGGAAAAAAGGTCAGATTTCACNAATTGACTGTAAAACAGTGAATCCAGTTATACTGACACCAAAAGTCGTGCCAGTGTCCAGGTTATCTGGGTTTTGCATTAAACCCGAAATAAACATCACATTCACGTCAGGTCATTCCTAACGAGTACAACTGAGCAGTAATATAAAACAATTTTAATGTCTGGACTGTCTCAAACATAGCAATGCAATCATTTAAGGTGGCTTACTACAGTTTTGATGGATTACAACAGCCTGTTTACTTAAGTCTTTTACAAGTCCAAGTGAAGCTTGAACGTTCATGCAAAGTAAAATAAAAATCTGTAGCACAGATTTTTCGCAAACTAAGAAAATGTGAAATCAAAAATAGCTGAAATCTGTCTTGCAGATTTTTATTTTACTTTGCATGAATGTTACGTCAGAGCCAATTTCTTATTCCTGAAATTTTGAGGTGGGTCTTACAGGTAGATTTTGAGAAAAATGTGATTCAACCTACTAGTGCCCAGTCTCTCCTTAGGTACTCATTTCATTCATTTTAGCCATTTGTTGACGTTCAATTGTTCAAGTTTCACATAGAATGGTAAAAGACTTAAGTAAACAGTAAATAGAGAAAGGAAAAACATCTTGGAACATAGAAGTTGGGCTGTTTTAATCCATCAAAACTGCAGTACACGATTTTAAAGTATAAGAATGAAATAATATTTGTGCCAAGTTTTGTTTACATTGGATTTTTTTTACGTCCCCACTGTTTTCGTAAAGAAGCGTGAAATTCTGAACATTTTAAGCTGCGAAAACCGCCATTATATGCATATTTTGACCTTTCTTAACTCTTGGCTGTAAAAGAAATGGTTGGAACTTTAAACTATTTTCCCTTGAATAAGTTCACCCAAGGGTACGTTTTAAAAGAAAAATCAATTTTTCGTGACTGTCTTCCGATTCTCGACACTCTCAGAAAATCAATCCAGGAGGCCTTCTCTATAAAAACCACCCACTCAATTTTGCATCCAAAATATAATTTTTCCTGAAATTCTGGCAACTGAAAGACCTTACTGAGATAAGAACAGAAACAGGTCTGGTTTGATTCGAAATGATTTTCCAGCTGTGTTAGGAGCCATTAAATATTTCCCCTCGTCAGGTAAGCATGTAAGATGGAAGTTAAGTAAACTGAGTATTGTTTTTCTATCTGTTTATACATCATTTGTCTATCTGTCTTCTTGCCAGGCATATTTGTCTCTTCATACTTATGTGCTCAGTTAATCTCAAACTACTTATTAATCATTTTTTGTTCAATTGATCAGTCACATTTCACACATCAAGCACATCAATTTAACAATTAGATTATGAACTAGAAATTTCAATCACGCATAGAAATCAAGAACAAATTAATTTTGTGAGTTGCTTTTTTCAATTCATTTTGCACAAAATATCAGATTTTTCGTAAGTAAAAATATCTTAACTTCATGTTTGGAAGACCACTCTCTGGGACTGTTGCTTTGGCATGGCTGAGTGGCTTGTGCATGCCAATGACTCCAAGAGCTATGCTGGCGGGGGTGTTCATACCCCTGGTATGGTCTACCAAACTGAAAAGGTCAACGAGTAGGGTCCAGACTAAAAATAGTCCCATGTCTGAGTTTGAGGCTAACAACCTCATCCTGGAAAAATTACTAGTTATGAAAACAACAACAAAGACAACTAACAACCTGCATGCAGGCCTTCCAAGGTCTTCGAACCATGTGACTGCCAGTGGTGAAAGCCAGAAGGGAACTGCTGGCATGAAGTTGGAGTAAAAGCCAAGACCAGTCTTGGATTTTGAAATGTATGTACTGTGTATGAAACTCGAAAGTTTGCCCAGAACATAGCAGAAATGAGAAGGTGCAAGTTTTATGTGTTAGGTGTACGCAAAAGTATGTGGACAGGAACAGAGACTCAAGTCTGTGTTCAGGCGAGACCGTATTATATTCTTGGTAAGACGATGGTCAACATCATGAGGGCGTGGAGACTATCCTGAAAAAAGGAGCAAATAGATCACTCCCGGAATGGAAGCCTATTATAATAAATTAGAATAGTAGCTTCATAAAGGTTAGGCTAAAGGGAAGGTGTAAGAATCTAACCCTGGTTCAGTGTTATGCTCCAACTAATGACAGTGAAGATGATCTGAAAGACAACTTCTATCTTAGACTCCAGGCAGAGATTGAACAGGTCCCATCGCAAGATCTTATCATCATCATGGGGGACCTGAATGCCAAAGTTGGTGCTGATAACTCAGGCAGTGACAGGGTGATGGGACGTCATGGATGTGGTATCATCAACGAAAATGGAGAAAGGCTTGTGGAGTTTTGCACATCAAATGATCTGGTGACAGGGAGCACCCTTTTCCACACCAAAAGATCCATAGACCAGGAGGAAGAGATAAAAATCAAGTCAATCACTTGCTGATTAATGGAAATGGTGGAGCTTCCTTCAGTAGTCCAAAACTAACCAGAATTGTTCATTTTTTGATAAAAGCATGAAAATTCCAGGATTATTAACCTCTATAAGGTAAACATTTTCTGATATGGAGCCATGCCAAATTTACACCCAGAACCACGTTATGCGCATGTCAAAAAATAACGTTTTAGGCCCCTACCTGGGAATGAGGCTGAGTTAAAATGCTTATTTCTAAGCCATCTCTGAAGGTGCACAACAGATTCCAGGCTCTTGTAGAAATAAATGAAAGGGAGAACAATGAGGAAGAAGTGAATAAGATCTGGGGGAACATTGTAACTGCACACAGCGAAAGCAGTAAGGCGTGTTTAGGATACAGGCAACAGAAGCCAAAGGAGTGAATGTCACATGACTCATAGACTGCAAAACAGTCGTTTTTGGACATTTTCGGAAGGCGCGAAGTGCCGTAACCACGATCCTTGCGTGTGAAGCGCACGAGCCTCACACGTGTTTTTTAGCGTCTCCCCATTCTCCCTCTCTCCAAGAGATGTACCTGGTGGTAAACATGTACAAAGAGTTGAAGTGTCGAGCAATAGCTGATAAGCGGAAGTACATGGAAAATCTGACATCCCTGACACAGGAAGCAGCCACACGATTGAACAAGGAACACTAGTGAACAGTGTAACATTACAGTGTTCTGGTGCTCAAAGACTCTCAAGACATGGACTATGAGGATGTGCTAAAGCGAGCTGTGTTTTGTTCAAAGCAACGGCACGAGAAAGAGCTGAAGTTCTTTTGTAAGAACTGTGAAAGGGCAGTGTGCCAATCTCATGTTTTGATGTATCATCCTGGTCACACTTGCACATAGAAGACGAAGCTGAATGACAAAAGATTGTCAGTGATTGAAACACAGAGGTGTATTTCACAAGCAAAGATGAATCCTGTTAGTAACCTTAATGAGGACTACGTGAAGCTGATGCAACAATTATGCAAAGAGGTGAAAAGAGACGTTCAGAGGACTGGTGACAATTCAAGAGTAATTGCCACTAAAAACCTAAGAAATTGTTGCCACTGTCGAAAAATCGATTTCTCTCATACTTTGCCAGTTTGAAGGCCTAGGCAAGTAACTGAAGGAAAAAAGGTCAGATTTCACTTCGTGATAATACAAAATTTTACACTTTTCCGATTTTGTTTTTATTCTCAATACCACAAGGGAAACAATGCTTACTTACAACACTAGCTCTATTTACATTGTATTGCTCTAATTATTTACACTATTTGAATTACAATATTTAAACGACTTACACTAACAAATAAAGTGACGACAAGGGGCAAAGGAAAAAAGAAGAAAAATAGATAGTTCTCATTACAGCTTGAGGTTGTACTATAGAAACAAAAAGACAGACCAAAGGCATGTGATACATTATAGGGAAAGTGAGTTATGCATCTGACAAGAGATTGGAAGTAGACTAATGGGTAGGATATGGGTAGGAGATAGATACTGATAGGTATAGAAAATATAATCTAAAATGTTAATAAAATCCTCATATATCTTGGAAGAGGTGTCCATTTCTTTGTGTCTCCACTTTTTGTTTCTATTTCATATTGTGATTTTACTGTGCATATGAAATGCGTAAGATTTGGATGATCATCTTTTGTTTTAGCGAGCCTTGTGTGATATCATGCTGAGAGAAAGCAGTAATGGATGAGAAGCACAAATTGAGAGATATCTGGTCTCAGACCCAAAGCAGTAATATATGTTAAAGCATAATCTCTAGGAGGTAAATTTAAGTTTTTCAGCTATTCAGTGAGTTTATTCCAAAAGTGAGATGTTTGGCAGCATGACCAAAAAAAAAGAAGTATTGACTCAGAGGTGTGACAAAAACTGCAATTTTCATCGCCCTGTAGACCTATTTTAAAAGAAGTTATTGGTTGGTACACGTCTATGTAAGAATTTAAACTGAAACTCTAACAGCTTAGTGCTCTTTGTGCATTTTTTAGCTAAAAGATAGGCAGCAGTCCAATTTATGCTGTCATTTATTGGTAGGTCACAATCCTCTAGCCACTTCTTTTGACTTGACTCTGGGGTTAAACTCTTGTTACCAATCAGTTTTTTATATATTTAATGAAAAATAAAAAAACTTTTAAGATTTTTGCTACACAGACGTTTACATCGCTGTGAAACGTTCTCAACTCTCAATGTATAGATTGATTCTTTCTTTCTAATCAAGATATAGTAATTACTGTAATTTGTTGTGTTTTCTGAGAGAACTGAGCCCCGATTAAGTGGACACACTGTTCAAATTAATACAAGATTAAAAAAATTGCAAATTCAGTGAGGAAAAAAGCTGACCGGTAGTGCTTCAAATCGTCTGATATTCTAGCCAAAGACAGTTCAATCAATTGATTTTAGGTTAACAGTTTCATTTTTGTGGGATCTGCTGGCAATTTTGCATGAACACCGATCAAAATTCGAGAAAATTGTAATTCAGTCCCACTTAAACTTGTAATTTAATGCAACACGCCAAAATAAGTATGGGCAGAAAGTAAGTATGTTTGGAAGACAAATTCAGTTAAATGTTCACAAGTGACATGAGAAACGCAAAATATTAGATAGTCTTTCGCCTGCGCGTTTATTTACTGAGAATGGATCACCAACACGCATCAATTTAAACTAAATTTGTCAGATTAGAAAGATTAATCTAAAACAATTCAGTTAGCAGATTACAAAGAGCCACGAAGAGCAGTTCTGATTTTACTGGCTTAATTAAATGTTGATGTATAATTAATACTTTATTGAGCTAGCTTGCTCGATTTGCGGTGAGAATATTTGTCTGTTTTTTTACAAGTTTATGGTTTTTGCCTGCCAATCGCTCCATAAACCTGCCAAAAAAATCCAATTTCTCCAATGTGGACCTCACACTAGTTTAACGATATATGTGTGGAAAACTGTTGGTAATAATTTTACTTTAAACATCCCTAGAGATGGCGGGCAGGAAGAAGGGCCATCGTCGCTACAAAAAATCAGCGGAAGGCTGATAACATTTTTAACCGGTACGTAAAACAAATTTTGTGTCTTGAAACTCAGTATTCTTGTCAATATTCTAGTGATTTATTCTCTTGCAGAAGACTATCGAAGACAACTAACAGATGTCTTGGAAAACGTCACTTTGAAAAAGGTATTGCAACTTTTACGTTTCATTTTCTCACAGTGTGTTAACGAGTGGAGCTCACTAAATCCTGTAATCTGATTTGTCTACATATTTACCAGTTGGTTAGGCACTTAGTAAATTTCTGAAAATATCCGCAAAATTTCCAACAAAGTTTTCAAGTCTTGGCAATCTTCAGATGATATTGAGAAATCTTTGCAATTCTTCAGGAAGGTTTGGGACATCGTCGGAAGTGTCGAGGGAAAGGTTGTTGTTATTCATTGTGGTAGATGCAATAATGAAGTGTATTATTGTTTGTCTCACGATGTAGTCACTTGAGATGTAGATCACGACGTTTTGACTGCTTACTGCTAGTGTTCTTCAGGCGATAAGGTCGACTGATTGCACGGTATCATTTATATCACAAAGGTCGGCTGTGATTGGTGCAGATAATACACTTTATTATTGTCAAAGTGTTTGAAATAATCGGGTGATATTGATATGCCTTGGGAAGGGTTTGGTTGATCTTGCAAAATGTTTGGAAAACATCTAATTATTTTCAGCTATCTTGGAAAGGTTTCAGGTGAGATTTGACCACTTTTGAAATACCTGGAAGACCACCGATAGTCTTCGCTGTAATTTGCCCCTGCGTTACGTACACTGCTCTTAGCCAGTCGAAATAAGTGATTTTTTTCAAATGTATCATTAGTTTCGGTAGAAGGCAGAATTTTATAATCTTGCTTACATTGTGATTCTGCCTAGGTTGATCTTGTGAAGGTTGACCCACACAAGTTTAAAGTTTGTTTCTCAAACTCACTGTCTGCAGTCAGAATCACTTCCGGTGACATCAAGATGTGCTTTCTAGTACGGCTTTCCTGCTTTAGTGTGAGGAGAGAAAATAATATCATTTAGTACATTTTACATAGTTACTTTCGCGGACAAAAAACACAGAAATCCAATGTAGACATATTTGTTTTAGTTCATTTTGCATTTCTGAGTTACAGGTTACTGTTCAGTTTAATAACCGTGACAAACACCTGCTATTTTGTTGTAGGTCATAACTGTAATAAGCGTTAAACTACCTGCGATAGTCTTTTGTTAAACTGCATTGTTTTGAAAGTTATTAATGTTGTTACGTCCTGATGTTACGTACATGAATTTTAAAAGTTAGCAATATTAAATAAAACAAAAACAAAGACAAAAAAAATAGTTTCTGGCATAAGAAAGTATGAAACGTAGCTCGCACAGTGACAGAAGTATTAACGGTTTTTAGTACCTAAATTTTTACAATAAGGTGGCCCAAGTAGATTGGAAATTATTGTAAGTTTTCTTTTCAAGAAAAACGTGGGTAATTTTTGGTACCAGCGGTACAAGATTATGCATTAATTTGGAATTAAGTTTTGGTTAAATGTTTGGTACCACCAATTAGTGAAACGACCCCAGAACATTGTAGTTTC